TATCACTGATCTCTAGCCAAATGCTGAACAACTGAAGTTCACCAGGAAGTGGGAAGAAATGAAATAAAGAGCACAGGCATAAGAATTAGCCTGGGAAAAGAAAATGGACCCTTCCTCCACTAACATAGAAAATGATAAGTATAAAATGAATCGAGGAGGGTAATTTACTAATTAGCACTTGTCTCCTAGGATCATAGGTGATATTTACTGAGTAAATACTACGTGCAAAGCAATAAGTACTTGGGTAAATTTTCTTTCTCAAAATGCTGCATGACAGAAATTATCCACACTTGACACATAAAAAAAATGGCCAAAACTCCTAGGATTCAAACTTGAATCTGTTTTACTCAAAACACTATACTGAGAAACTGGGCTGACACCACCATTCCAAGTGATCTAGGACTAGGTTAACATCACCAGTAACAAGACATATCAACATCACACACTCCTGGATGTAATATACTGAGAAGGATACCTCACCTTTGTGGTATCCCTCTGCCCAACTAATGCAACAACACCTTTACCAAATCACAACACCAAACACATTGAAGTGGGGTTCTACAAAACAACTAACAAATACTCTTCAAAGTCTCAAGGTTATAAAAGACAAGGAAAGACTGAGGAACTACTACAGATTGAGGGAGACTAAAGAGACATGGCAAAACAATATGGAATCCTGGAATAGATCTCTGATTAAAAAAAGGGCATTATTGTATCAAAGTTAATTTCTTAGCTTTGACCACTATATTGTGGTCTCAAAATAAAAGTTATTTTTTTAAAAACCCACACTGCGTGGCTGTTGTGACTCAGTGGTTGAGCATCAACCCATTAACCAAGGTCACCAGTTTGATTCCCAGTCAAGGCACATGCTCAGCTTGCGGGCTCGATCACCAGTATGGGGCATGCAGGAGGCAGCTGATCGATGATGTTTCTCTCTCATCAATGTTTCTATCTCTCTCTAAAAATCAATAAAAACATATTTTAAAAAATAAATAAAAATAAAAACCCAACACTATATTGCACTGCTTCTATAGGAGCACGACACTTATATAACTATGGGTCTAGCTATTAGTCTATTCAAAACTAATTTACATAGATTGAAAGCCTAGTTCAGATTCTGACTGTTGGTTAACAATAGCATGCCTATTGTCCCTGAATTATCTGGCATCCTGGTCCTCACTCCTGACCTAGACTGCTGTCTTAACAATTGATCTCTGACTCCTACCTTGTCCTTATCACGGGTTCCGAATACTGCATCTAATCCCTGATTATTGTAGTTTTCTACAATAATGTCTCCCTGGGAAAGCAGCTAAGTGAGGACAGGTGGGTAAACCCAAAAAGTGCTGGATATATTAGGTAAGTCAGCAAAGTAACCTCAAAACATAATGTATTAATAAACATCATCTTCTCATACATCTCACATCTGTAAACACAGCTCCATAAAATATGAACATGAAAAGAAAACGCAATAAGGAGCAGCATAGCAAAAAACCTTCAAAACACAAAACAGTAGCTCATAAAAGCAAAAATTTGATATATACTTTAAATCAGTTTGCTCACCTCTCATTTATTCCAGTAACTGCAACTACATATGCCAATATTATTTACATTAGGATGATTATTGCTAAGGAGTGATCAAAATACATACAATATTTTGCAAATATTTATTTAGGCACTACTAGGAAGTAGGCATTGAACAATGATACTTAAAAGATGGGTGTAATCTAACTTGTTTTTAATTCCTTTGGGTGTTAACTCTATCCAACAATGAGAGATACTAGTATTTACCTATGCCTCTACATTAGGCCATGTAGATCAGGGAGTTCCCATAGAATTACACTGTAAACCAGGGGTCCTCAAACTTTTTAAATAGGGGGCCTGTTCACTGTCCCTCAGACCGTTGGAGGGCCGGACTATAGTTTAAAAAAAACCTATGAACAAATTCCTATGCACAGTACACATATCTTATTTTGAAGTAAAAAAACAAAACCGGAACAAATACAATATTTGTACTTGCATGTGGCCTGCGGGCCGTAGTTTGAGGACCCCTGCTGTAAACCATATATGTAAGTTTAAATTTCCTAGTAACTGCATTTTAAAAGTGAAAATAAAAGGTGCAATCATTTTACTATAATTCATTTAATCCTGTACATGCAAAAGTTATTTCAACATGTAATCACACTGAAAAAAAAAGACATAAGATATTTACTTATTTTACTTTTTGAATAATAAATCTTCTAAATCCACTTTGTATTATATTATATACTTCTGCATCTGTATTAGGACTAGCCACATTTCAAATGCTCAACTGCCACATGCAGCAAGTCACTACTCTACTGGACAACACAGATCTAGATGCTACTTAGACAAAGATACATTCTCCTTTCACTGAACTCTATCTTTTCTTTAAACAATTAACCCCGATGTTACACTATACCTGCTAAGAAAAGCAAACACAAAGAATGATGAATTAAACTGAAAACTCCTTTGGAGTGCAAGCTTTTTGGGTGTCTTAGTTAAAAGAAGACATGGTATTGTGCCCTCTTCTAAAAACAAAATACATTTTAAAAAAAGCAGAAATAGGGAGAAAAAAAAAAGAAGAAGAGACCATTTATTATGAGTGATCCTCAAATCTCAGTAGAGATTCTGTTATCAGCACATAAGATGATTAGAAGAAATCTATACACCCAAACACATCTTTGACTCTATCAATCATATTACTTATATTTAAAACATTCAAATCCAATTAAAAGGGAATAATTTTAAAAGTTTTGTTTTGAGCACATTTCTTTTCCAAATGTAGACATACACTTTTTCCTTATAATATACAAGTATAGCTTTTCAGATTTACTCTTTAAAGGATAGCTCATCCTTACTGCAAACACTATGCTTGAAATGTTAATTAAAAAAAACACACATATCCTTTCTGACTGGTGTTTCTGGTTTCTTGGGATATATTCCTAGAAGTGGGATCACAGGGTCAAATGGGAGTTCCATTTTTAGTTTTTTGAGGAAACTCCATACTGTCTTCCATAGTGGCTGCACCAGTCTGCATTCCCACCAGCAGTGCACAAGTGTTCCTTTTTCTCCACATCCTCTCCAGCACTTGTCGTTTGTTGAATTGTTGATGATAGCCATTCTGACAGGTGTGAGATGGTACCTCGTTGTTGTTTTGATTTGCAGCTCTCGCATGATTAGCAACTTTGAGCATGTTCTCATATGTCTTTTGGCTTTCTGAATGTCCTCTTTTAAAAGGTGTCTATTTAGGTCCTTTGCGCATTTTTTGATTGTTTATCTTCCTTTTGTTGAGTTGTATGAGTTCCCTATAAATGTTGGAGGTTAAACCCTATGTTCATAGCAGCACAGTTCACCATAGCTAAGATCTGGAAACAGCCTAAGTGCCCATCTGTAGATGAATGGATTAGAAAATTGTGGTACATCTACACGATGGAATACTATGCTGCTATAAAAAAAAAGGAACTCTTACCATTTGCAACGGCATGGATGGAACTGGAGAGCATTATGCTAAGTGAAATAAGCCAGTCAATGAAGGAAAAATATCACATGATCTCACTCATTTCTGGATAATAAAGACCATTATAAACTTATGAACAAAAATAGATACAGAGGCAGAGCTGCCTCCAACAGACTGTCAAACTACAGCAGGAAGGCCGGGGAGGGTTGGGGGGCAAGAGGGGAGGGTAAGAGATCAAACGAAGGACCTGTATGCATGCATATAAGCATAACCAATGGACATAAGACATTGGGGGGTAGGGGAGGCCAGGGGATTGTCAAGGGCGGGGAAAAAAAAAGGAGACATATGTAATACTCTTTGTAATACTTTAAGCAATAAAAAAAAAAAACACAAGCCCTGACCAGTTTGGCTCAGTAGATAGAGCGTCGGCCTGAGGACTCAAGGGTCCCAGGTTCGATTCCGGTCAAGGGCATGTACCTTGGTTGCGGGCACATCCTCTGTAGGGGGTGTGCAGGAGGCAGCTGATTGGTGTTTCTCTCTCACCGACGTTTCTAACTCTCTATCCCTCTCCCTTCCTCTCTGTAAAAAATCAATAAAATATATATTTTTTTAAAAGTTTAAAAAAAAAATTTACTACAATTTACCCTTGGCCTAATTCCAAAGTAGAACTGTAAGAAGTCGTTATTTTTTATAAAGAGTAACAAACTTAAGCTTTCTTTATAGGTTGAGCCCCTCAATTAAAAAAAAAAAAAAACATCATTTTCACTGACTCCTTCCTAGTACAGTGCCTCTGGCACATAATATTTTCTCAACAAATACTTGTTGAGAAGTGGATGAATGAATATCTAGTATCGGGCAATGAATACTCATATATCTGGAATTTCAAAATAAAAAGTTAAGAATTAGACTCTTTCAATGAAAAGGATTAACTAGATTTCATATGAAAATTGAGGCGACCCCACAGTTAAGAAAACCCTTTCCATCAGTTACTCGCATTTAATACAACACTCCTGAGGCACAGATGTTATCACCCCTCATTAAATATATGAGGAAGGTGGGGCCAAAAGCCTGTAAAGTCATACACTGTAATTATGAAGTAGTGGAGCCAGATTTCAAGCCCACGTCCTCAAACGAAACGTGTGTGACTGTTGGAAAGGGGTGTGTGAATGTTATGAAAACAATATCCCATGCTTCTCTACTTAAAAAAAGAAAATCCTCATTACAAAAACTTCAGAGGATTAATGCACACGTGTACAAAATCCACAACTCTTAGTGTTTTGAACCCATTTAAATTATAACAACAAGCGCTCTTGCTGAAGCCTTAAACGCAGCTCGACGAGAAGGCGGCATCCTTCCGTCCTTCCCTCCGGGGACCAATCAAACCGGGAGCGAAAGCATCCCCGCGGCCTGGGACCGGCTCGCCCGGCCCCGAGAGGGGGCGGCTCCCCGCCCAACTGCTCGGCGCGGCGCGCGGCGGCCCCGGCCCCCGGTCCCCGGGAAGGCGCGGGCCAGCGGCCCAGCCTACCTGACGGGCTCCTGCCGCCGCTTGAACCAGCTGCAGCAATTGGCCATCAGCCTCAGCATCCCAGGCTCCTCCCTCCGCCTCCCATCCGAGCCTGGAGCGGGGATGGGCCCCTGGTGGCCCCGGGCCGCGTCCCGAACCGCCTTCGCTACGAAAAGCCTCGGCGCGGTGAGCCTCGCAGGAGAGGGCGCGCGGGGGGGGGGTGAGGGCGGCGGTCAGTCCGAGCAGAAGCCGGTACGATCGCGCCGGCCCGCGAGCCGACGACTGCGCTCCCGGCCGGGGCGGCGGAGGAAGAGGCGCAGATCCACAGACCCGAGCTGGGTAGCGGGCCGACCGGAGAAAACCCCCGCGTCGACGCGCTGATGTCCCTCCCCGGCGTGGCGGGCCCTTCCAAGCACCGCCCATACGCCCCTCCAATCATCGTTCGCGGGCCGGCGGCGGGGGCCTCTGAGTGGCTGGAGGACCCGGCTCTCCTCCCCTCCCGCCCCCCCGTTTCTGCCCAAGAGGTGGGAGGAAGAAGGGGGAGGGGTCTAGAAGAAGGCGGTGTTGTCCCGGGGAGATGATTCTCGTTACTAGGCAACGGGAGCGTCCAGCGATGATCGGAAGATCCCGGACAAATCTCAGGCGAGGTTTACCTGTACATCCATGCAGAAGTGTGTTACCGCCGAGGGTGCTGCTGCTCCTCTGTCTCCAGTCACAGCTGAGATCCAAAGATCTCAGGTCTTGTGCGTGTTTTGTTTTGTTTTATGCACCAGGGATAGTGATCCACTGGGATTATAGCAGGCTCTGCACAACTATAGAAACAACACATTGGGGGAATTATTACGAAGACAAGGGGAAAAACTCATTTCCTAATTATATCAACAGTTCAGATGAGAGTGACATGTTCATTTGTATAATGTTATTGCTGTTTGTTACATAAATGTGAAATGGAATTGTATATTTATTGTGTGGGGTGGTACGATTACTAAATAAATATATGTTTATTGTAGAAAATGTAAAAAAAAATAAAAACCACTAAAAAAGGAATAAGATTTAGAAAATAAGATGTCACTACCCAAAGAACATACATTTTGATGTATGTTCTTTCCAGGTATTTTAGATACATAGATTGCTAGCTATTTGGTTTCTGAAAGATGGAGTTGGTGATCTACTGGCTCTTTTGCAACCTGTTTTGTATTATTTAAAGAGATATGTGATATATTTTTTTAATATTCTTGGAAAAAGAAATGGCAAGTGCATTCCTATAGGAAAAAATCATGCATAATGTATAAGGGCCTGTGTATGCATTCAGTTTCTACTAATATATTTTCAAATCCTGGTAAAAGGAGAGAGGGCCCTGGGAAACCCAGTGTATCCAGGGGAAAATAGTGGTTTGGAATTAAGAGTTTTTAAATTATTCTCTGTCTTTACTATGTAATCCTAATTCAAACTCATATACATTACTTACAGTTTACTATCTCTGAAACAAAGTACCCCAACTATAAAAGGAGAATAATAATGCCTCCTTTGCAAGGTTGCTACGATGATGAAATGAGAGAAATAAAGCTCAAGTGCTATTTGTAACAAATGAGAGCAGATTTTGAAGTTGGTGTTACCTGTCTCAGAAACATTAATGGCACATATCCTCGTACCTCTTTTCAAACAGCTAGGATCTTATTCACCACTAGTGACCCTGTGCACGGATTCCTGCACATTGAAAGGAAATTCATTAGAAGGTGGCTGGCAGGGCAGGACTGGGCGAGATGGGCCAGACACACCCTGGAGCCAACCTCCCATGGTCCCTCCCGGGCTGCTGCACCTGGGGTGGTGCTGCGGCTGGAAGGGTGTCTGCAGAGTGAGCGGGGTCCCTCCAGCAGGTGGGGTCCCTCGGCCTGGCCTGCAGGGATTAGGTCAGAACCAGCTCTCCGACAACCCCCGAGGTGTCCCGGAGTGTGAGAGCTCCCTCCTCTCTGGTTCGGGGTGCATCACCGGAGAACCACCGCTGCCAAGTACAGCAGCTTGGCAGCTCCTGCGTTGAGTGTCTGCCCCCTGATGGTCAGTGTGCATCATACCCACCGGCCAGCCGGTCGGATGGTTGGATAGTCACTTAGCCTCTTATATAGAGAGATAGATTCTCACTCTCCTACCTTCATAACATCAACTTCCTTTTCGATTACTCATAGATGTATGACCTTTACTGATTACCCTAATTTAACCTGCCCTTCCTCATCAGTAAGAGGTGCTGCCTCTGCCCAGACTGTTCTGCCATATACTAAAATACCTCTAGAATACAGTACTAATGAAGAAAGTTGAATGACACCTTCCACACATTTTCTTCCTTCTCTGTTATTCCTGTTTCTTCTTAATTTCTAATAACTCAAGATATCTATAGTTCCTCTTTTCCAAGGTTAACCACTTTCCTGGGACTTTGAAAAACATAATTTTCCACTTTTCTGAAATCCTCATCCTTCAAGTATTTCTTCTTCCTCCAACATTTTAAATATATTCCTCCTCATTTTTCCCCCTAGATCTTAGGCTACAGTTGCCAGGGTGGGATGGGGGTGAGAGAGCAGAGCAAGATAAGGCTACAATTCCTCCTTAACTATGACCTAGGTTACTACTGTTCTTCTAACTCTTTAATTTCACAACCCAACTTCTTAAACGAATGGTTCACAAACCCCAAAGCACTATATTTTGCTGTTCAATTGTTTTAATCAATTTACTGTGATTTGGCTTCTGTCCCATCTAGCTACTCAAAACATATTTTTATATAATTTATGTCTTCCTTACCAAATCAGTTCTCATTTTCTTTCACATTAGTTAATACTTTTAATACAGTTAACTCATCTAAAGCTCTTTCCTCCCTCATCTTTTCACAATTATGCACTATTCTGGTTCTCTTCTCATCTCACTGGTCATTCCTTCTCCAGCTTCCTATGTGTATTCTCAAGATCCAACCATATCCCTCTGTTTTGTTTCTTTTTAAAAAAAATATGTTTTCATTGATTTTAGAGAGAGAGAGAGGAAGGGAGAGGGAGAGGGAGAAAAAAAGCATCCATAAGAGAGCACCATCAATCAGCTGCCTACTGGGGATCCAGCCCACAACCTAGACATGTGTCCTGACTGGGAATAGAACCAGTGACCTCTCAGTGCATGGAATGATGCTCAACCCACTGAGCCACACAGGTTAAGACTCTCTGCTTTCCTTTAAAGAAAACGTTCTCTTAGAGAATCCAGTGATTACTTTTGTGCCTGAGGGCCTTATTATGTGATGTTACTTGAGCATTTGGATCTATACTCAACACCCTGTTTCCAAAAATATTCTCAACCAGTTCTACTTCATGGCTTTCCTAGTTCTGATAGTGATCCAGTAACAAACATTTGTAGTGCCAACATACAGTCTGTCAGTCACTAGCATATTACCCTCCAGTTTCATCCAGTTAAGTTGACTATTAGCTTTCAATATAGTAAGTGATTTGGTAAGCATAAGTGTGCTCACTATTTCTAGTTCTCTTTTCCTCACAAGCACATGAAATAGTTATCCCCACCTTCTCAAAGTCATGGATTTGTTTCCTCCAGTAAAATGTGTGTGGTAGTAGTTGTGTCACTTCTTGGTGAAAACATTTAAAAGCTTATGTACAATCACTATGTTCTCTCTCCCCTTGCAATGTTAATTGTGGAAGCCTATGTTAACTTTGAAGTAATATAAAATCAAAACAGCATGGAATACTGAGCCAACACATGGAGGGCAGCTGCTTGGAAAGTCCTACAGTGGACTTTCCACGAGCAAGAAATAAACACTTGCCGTAGCTGTTTTGGCTCATGGATAGAGCACGGGCCTGGGACTGAAGGGTCCTGGGTTCATTTTCAGTCAAGGGCACATGCACGGGTTGCATGCTTGGTCCCCAGTGTGGGACACAGGAGGCAGCTGATCAGTGATTTTCTCTCATCATTGATGTTTCTATCTCTGTCTCCGTCTCTCTTCTTCTTTGAAATCAATAAAAATATATATTGGGAAAAAATAAACACTTATCTTAAGCCACTGTAATTTTGTTGCTGTTTTATCACATTATAATCCATTTCATTTTGAATGATGAAAACAGTCTTACTGCCATCATTCTAGTCAAGAATCTCATTTCATCTCCCAGAGATTGTTGAAATAGAATCCTAGATATTATTTGGTTTCTGTTATTTTTTCCATCTTCACTGAGGTACAGCTGATAAACAAAATCATAATACATTTAAAGTGTATAATACAATGATATGATGTATATATACATTGAGGAATGATTCTCATAATTGAGTTAATTAATACATAAACACTTTTTTTTCAGTAAGAACATTAGAGAGCTATTCTTTTAGCATATTCCAATACAGTATAAATAAGTATACTCATCATGCTGTACATTAGATCCTTAGAAGTTAGTCATCTTTCTTTTGTTTTTTACTTTTATTAGCATTTATTTTATGCTCAATTTACTCCCATGCCATAAGTTTTTGTTTCATCTGTTGTATCATTTTCTTCTGTGCAATCTTCTCTTCTGGTTTAGGAACCATCTGATCTTTTTCAGTGAGGACCACCTCAGTGTGGGAGGGAGAGCTCCCATATGCGCTCTGTGCTATGTCTTAGGACAGTGATGGCGAACCTGTGACACGCGAATTCATTTTTTTTGGTTGATTTTTCTTTGTTAAATGGCATTTAAATATATAAAATAAATATCAAAAATATAAGTCTTTGTTTTACTATGGTTTCAAATATCAAAAAATTTCTATATGTGACACGGCACCAGAGTTAAATTAGGGTTTTTCAAAATGCTGACACGCTGAGCTCAAAAGGTTCGCCATCACTGTCTTAGGAGCTTTGTTCACCTGGATATGCTTAATGACTAGAGAATCTACATCTAAACCTTTAAGTTCAGCATTACTCTCTGCAATTTTAAGCATGTCCAGCAGTACTAGTAATTAAGCACTCTTTTGGGGCCACCGACCCTGTGTCCAGCCTACTGTTTGGCTTGACCACACCGACAAACTCCACCATTGTAATGACAGAATGGCACACATTGCTTCTGTAAAATGACATCCTCTAGATACTTGGTGGCTTTACAGATCGGCATACCCTTCATGGCCTGGGCAGTTTCACGAGGGTTCTTTAAGAGAACACAAAAATTTGAACCTCTTGTTTTGCATGATTTTGTGGGGTTTCCTGGGTTCA